AATCTATGATGGTCAAGTGACAAATTAAATATATTCCGTCACATTTCTGAACAGTTATTCATGTTTAAGTCCAGATAGACATTTAGTCGATCATTAACTAGTGAAACAAACTAAAGTAAAACAGATTCATTCAGATTTGTCAGAGTTTAAATGTTCTGGCATTTTATGGGTTAGGGTTATTAGTATGATGTTGGTCAAGTTTAAATGAAAGGACAGTTTGTCAGTTACGTTTTTATATCATTAAATTTAATTTGTATTCATTTTGAAATGAAGCTTGTGTTGATCGATCAGCTGATTGAGTGAAAAAAACAATGAAACATGAGTTGAACTGATTTAGTTTTTATACAAATAATAAAAACACACATGAACAATTATTTCACTTCTTCTATAAACTACCTCAGTCCCATCTCATCTTCACCAGCTCATCTTCATCATCCTCACCTCGTCGTCGGCGCAGAGATTTTTCAGAGTTTGTGTAAATAGTTTCTCAGAAGTCTTTGTAATGCAACAACCTGAAAACACACACAGCTCCTTCAAATTAAAAGCATTGGTAAAATGTACTGTTGTCAATCTTTAGACTGTGGCATGCTAACAAGCTAACATGCTAACATGATCACATTAATGGAAGCCAACTTTATAAGAGCAGAGAAGCCAATTGGCTTACCGGAAGAGGGGGGCGTGTCCTTTGTTGTTAGCCAATGAGAAGAAGCCACTATGTGGGGAGAAGTCCAGGCAGCTTGCTCGATAAACAATGTTCCTCTTGGAGACGGGGAAGTTAGAGAAGATGCTGAGGCTGGACAGGTGGACCTGAGGGGACAGAACCGGGACAGAGCCGCATCAGAGCCAGATCCATAACGGGAACTAAACCGGGACAGAACTGGGTCAGAACCGGTATCTTACCAGCTTTACGGCCTCGTCCTCGGCTCGGGAGGCGATGGCCAGAATCTCAGAGGTGGGGTTGAAGGTTAGGGAGGTCGCTGAGGTCAACAGGTTCATCACCGCCTTCAGAGGCTTTGGATTGGCTGAGTTAAGACACGCCTCCTGAGAATAGACGTTGACCACGCCAGACTGAGAGCTGCAACAGACAGAAGATCAATCAATCCACTGCCCCCCTGCCCCCCCGCCCCCCCCCCCACTACATCTCAGCAGAATACAGAACACAGGATGTTGAGTGGGCGTGTCTTACCCACAGGCCAGGTACTGCCCGTTACGAGATGCAGCAATGGACGTCCCCTTCACACAGCCGTCATCTGTGAACTTGTTCAGACAACGACTGCTGCGCACATCCCACACATACACCTCCCCCTCCTCTACACACAGACACACACAGAGACACACACACACGGCACATGAATGTCAGGAAGCTCATTTGTGATGTCACAGGATCAAAGTCGTGGACTCACCTGAGTTGACGAAGACTTTGCTGCCGTTGTGGGAGAAGGCGACGCCGCTGACATCACCGTTAATCTTCATACTGCAAACTACCTCCTTAGTCTGAACACACACACACACACACACACACACACACACACACACACACACACACACACACACACACACAATAAACAGGATGTTTAGAACACTCACTCTTTGCAGCAGAAAGTTGAGGCCTCGTGTTTCATCACAGATTTTAGAAACATGAAAATTGAAAATTCTCCAGGAAATGACATCACAGGGGGTCAAAATAAGGACATAGACACCGGAGGAACATTTCTACGTCAGAGGTCAGAGGTGAACTAGAGGTGAACCCACCTTGAGTGTGAGGAGGTGCAGGTACCCACGAGTCCCAGTGAGCAGCAGAGCGCCTCCTTCAGGACAAACTGAGAACTCCTTCACTCTGTTTTCATTCAGACCTGAAGCAACAAACAGCAGCAGCTGGCAGACTTTTATTCTGAAAGTTTAAAAAAAATGAATGTGTAGCTTGACCTCTGACCTCTGACAGTGTGGACAGGTGTGACCCGGCCCTCCATCATGTCGTACAAGTAGAACATCTTGTTCCTCACACCGGTGGCGATCACCGTCTCCCCGTCCGTACTGAACTGCGCTCTGTGGACGGGGAAACGCTCCAGGTGGATGCTCTGGATCTTTGGGTTTGTTTTCCCATCCACCTGAGGGAGGAGAGACGCAAAGTGTCACATGATCTGTTCCGCCAGACATCAGAGAACGTCAGCTGATCGGCCGTCTGTACCTGAAAGAGGGACACTGATTGGTCGAGGCCAGCTGTCATGATGACCTGAGCGGAGGGGTGGAACTGGACGGTGGTCAGTCTGTCCTCAGATGGACGAGCGCTGTTGGCAGGAAGACACTTCTTCATCTGAGACAGGACGGAGACAACAACATCATCATCATCATCATCATCATCACACTGTAAAAAACAAAGCTGGATTTATGATCACTGACTCTCAGAATGCCGCTGGGCAAACGCTCTGAAGACGCCACAAAGTTTCCTGTCCTCCTCAGCAGGTCATCCTCCTCTTCATCATCATTGTCTTCATCATCCTCAGCTGAACACACACAAACACACGTTTTGATTTGTTCAGAAGAAACAAAAATAAAGACAAGTCATGAAAAGTGTTTGTACCGTTCATCTTCATCTTCTTCTTCCTGCTGCTGCTCTCAGCCCATGACGGAGCTCCGCCCATCGATTTCTGAAACCTGACACACGATGCGTTCAGCAGCACGCACCCCACATGTTCATCTAGCCTTGTGTGTGTGTGTGTGTGTGTGTGTGTGTGTGTGTGTGTGTGTGTGTACTCACTGCTCCCTCATCCTCTGCTGAAGTTTGTGTTTGGTCATGATCGACTCAGCGTCTCCTTTCATCAGGTCTTTACGGTAACGATGCTTCATGTCCACCCTGAGACAAAGAGAAACATTGGATTCACACACACAAACTCTCTCTCTCTCTCTCTTTCACACTCTCTCTCACTCACTCTTCCTCCAGCTCGTCATCTTCGTCCACCCAGGCGGCCTCTCTGGTTGGTTGGCGCTGCAGATGAGCCTCGTCCTCGTCCTCCTCAGACTCAACATCTTCGTCCTCCAGACGTTCAGTCGCCTCTTCGTCCTCCTGGTCAAGTAAACATGTGACTGACAGTTGTTGATACAGAAACACATCACACGCCTTCAAACATTTACTCATCGTCTCACTCTCACTGAGTCAAATCCTGAATGAAACCATGTTCAAGTTTTTAAAGAAGTTTGGTTTAGTTATTAACCAGTAGAACATAAGTCTGGAAGAAAACTACAATCAGGGTCCTGTGTTTGACATCTAACGAGTTGCTCCGGGGTTGGAACTTAAGACAGTCGTGTTCACAGACAGGACCAGGACCAGGACCGGGACCAGGACCAGGACCGGGACCTGGTATTCTTGGTATTCTTGGTGCTGCACTTTGTGTCACAGGAAGTTAGCTGAATAACTTTGTAACAGATTCCTTGTTTGGTTGCATGTTAAGTTGTTGCACAAACGTTATGTTTAAACAAATCAACGTGAATGTGTGTTCTGCAGCTCCGTGCATCATATTCATGTTACTGAGGGAGAAAGGTGCAGCAAGGACGGAAACAGCTGCTGAAGTTTAAATGAAGGTGAGATGAAGACAAACCTCCAGGATTCGGCCCCGCAGCTCGTCCTCTGCCCCGAACAGCAGCTCCTCCAGGACCCGCACCGAGGCGTCCTCCTCCCGCAGCCCCGACACGCTGTTCACGTTCCTCCGCCGCTTCTCCTCCTCCTGCCTCGGGTCCCTCTTCTTCGCTCGGCCTCTCTTCCTCGCTCCGCTCGGCTCCGGCAGCGGGATCACGTCCTCCATGTTTCTGACTCTGAACCAGAAGCCGCAGATTTCACGTGAACTCGCGGATCGTCCGGAAGTTTGCACGTGTTTTTATTCTACGTCACGTTTTCTTCTTCTTCTGATGAAATCCCGTGAGACTGCACGTTACAGAGCGTGGTGCTGCCCCCTCTGTTTACTATGCGTCACTTCCGTTGCTCAGATATAAACATCTGAATAAAGAATGAACCTGAAGCTCAGCGAGTAACGTTACATCACATTACGTTACATCACATGACGTTACATCACATGACGTTACATCACATGACGTTACATCTCATTACGTTACATCACATTACGTTACATCTCATTACGTTACATCACATGAAATGACAACCCTTTATATACTTTATAATACATTTTAAATACCTTTAAGTACTTTAGAATATACCTTTGTAGAATACTTTTATTTGCTTTTACAGTTTCTGGACTTCAACCTTTAGAAACACACAGGTCCCGATTGCTCTCGTCATAATAGCTTCATCTTTTCTTTTAGTATTAAAAAATAACTTTCCCCTTCTCACAGACTCTTTTCTTCTTTCCACTCCTCTTGCTCCTCTCTGCCTGAAAATTCCTTGATAATACTGAAGCTCTCAGGTTTTTCTGATCTCGTCCTTAAATCAACTTGTTCTATTTTATCAGTGATTTCATTACCTACACTTCCTGAACCCATCTCCTCTCTTCTGGAGAGACAACACACTCTCCACCAACAGAGGTGTAGCTGAGGTTTGATCCAGCAGCAGCCTCAGAGCAGAATGTTCCTGGTCTCCTCCTGCACCTCCCACAGGTGAACATCAGCTGGTCTGAACCTCTTTATATACAGTCTATGGTCTGAACGCAGACTCTACTGGAGCAGAGAAGGCTTTGATGAATCTCACATCAGACATGTTCCAGAGTCTCGCTTTCTTCGATTGGGACTAATGAGAACTTACAATCTTTAATCAAATCGAGCAATGAAAAGAGGCTTTGGGAGGAGCCAGAGGGTCAGGTGACCCTAAACATGGGATCCTAAATTATTTTCTCTTACAAGATGTACATGACTGAAGAAACATCATTTTCCTCTTGCGAGTTCCAGGACTCATCTAACAGACACTTGGTGGAAAGACGGTGAACTGCTTAAGTTAAACCAATAAAGTTAACCCAATCCAATTCTCCTGATTCTTAACGGGGATTCTCCCGTTTCCATCAGAGGATCAGCGATCAGTGTAAAAGCCCTGTCACACATTCTAATGGTCTGACTCCAATCCTGTTGACAGAGGACAGAGTTTGCAGCAGAGCAACATTTACTTTTTCATGTTTTCACCTCGACTGCTTGTGTACAGACCAAAGACGAATAATAAATATTATATTTTAACTTTATAAGTAGATTATGAATAAAACCAGTGTAAATAAAGATCAGAGACTGAAAATAATGATAACATGTCTCCTCTTCCTCCAGAAATGACCCCAAAAACTAAACCTAGAAGAAACGGATGGTTCTTGTCTGGTTGCCTACCACCCCTGAACAACTAAAAACAGATTTGAAGCTAAAATATCTCAGAGAGGAAATATTTAGAGGAAACAGTTTATTCACAGGAAACAGTTTATTCACAGGAAACATGCAGTTTAAGTCAGACTTAGTTTACATCTATAATTCCAGTTGAACATCATCAGATGAGTTTTCACAGGTTTCAGTTTGTACAGAAGCTTTTTACAGTTTTAACTGATCAATAGGATTCATAGTCTTCAAGGGGGGGGGGGGTCTCCATAACAACAGGCTTCCAAAATCTCAGTTTGACAGGAAGTGACATCATGGTTAAGACATATTTAATGACTTCAGATAAACGTAGTAAATTCACGCCAAATTTCCTGAATTAAAAATAACGTTAATGTTGTTAGTTCAATGAAGAATTGGTTCAACATGTATATAGTTTACACACATATATAAATATGTAAAAAAAAAAAAAAATCAAATGTGGGGGTCAGAAAAATGTTCGCAACGGAAAAATTGTCAAATTATTGAAAAACATTTTGACATGAATTCATTTACATGTGACTCTTTAATTCTTCACCTGTTTCTTCAATCAATACTTGATGATGTCCAGGTGAGTCTCTGGTTCACTTCGGTCCTGGTCTTGGAGCTTAAAGACTCATCCAGAACTCTGACCCACCCCTCCCCTGAGGTCCAATCAGATCCTGCCAAAATAAATCTGTCACCTCGCTGACCTCACAGCACTGAGGTTCCTCAGGACCTTTGACTCGCAGGTTAAGTCGTTTTAGGTCTGTGACCTCAGGACACAGTAAGCCTAGCTTAGCATAGGGATGCTAAGCTAGGCTAACAGCTACCACTCAGAGGATGGGTTAATGTTAATGAGGTGCAGCAGCAGGAAGTAAAGTGAAGTGCGATATCCAGACGTCTCTTTTACATCAATGTTGAGGTCAGTTTTATCCAATCAGCTGATGTGGTGACGTCATCTGATCCAGAGACTAGTTCACCTCAGAACCTGAATCTAGAAGATCCTGAAGAACTGAAATGAAAGTTCCTGCAGCAGCTGTCGGCGCCACATACTGTTCTTCTTAACGAGTCACATTCTGGAAAATAAAACGTGCACGTGCAAAAATAAAAAATAAAAATGAAAGGGGGCTCGGCAGACACAAGATTGTCCATCCGTCTGCGTCAGACCGAGTAACAGCCAATCAGCTGTGAGTGTGGATCAGATGATGAGGGACGCTGCAGATGTGTTTTTGTGTACGTGTGTGTATGTATGTTTAAGTGTGTGTTGCAGTTCTCTTCACCTTCCAACAGGGGGCAGTGGAGGAGCTCCTCTTATCACTGAAACACAAAAGGATTTGCATGATAAGTTTGATCATCAGTCTCCTTTAAGTTAAGTTACAGTTAGAAGAGACGAGGTGAACCTGCCTCTGTTGGCCTTGCTCGGGTAGATCTTCGTGAAGTGTCTGTACTCGTCCGGAGGCGGGAAATCATCCAGGGGATGGAACGAATACTTGGACTCAAAGTCGTCTAAAGAAGAAGAAGAGACGTCACATGAGGAGAAAAGAAGGAGAGTGATGAAAGTGACGAGACGTAACTCACCAACACATTCATTTTATTTAAATGTCATAAAACATGATATTAAATGTCATAAAACATGATATTAAATGTCATAAAACATGATATTAACATATATAAAGATTATAATCATGTCGACGACCTGAATAAAAACGTCTTTACATTAACATTTTATTTTGAAACTGAAGCGACCCGTAATCAATAATCCAAGTTTTTATTCTTCAGTCTTTAGATCTTGTTTCTTAAATTCTGATGAGCGACTGATCGATCAGCTGATCAATACAGGAAGCTGTGCTGCGGCATTTGGCTCTGATTGGATGGAGAGACAGACCGACAGACTCACCGACAAATGAGCGAGGGATGGAGGAGGAGGAGTGTCCATTGCGGAGAGGAGGGGGAGGAGGAGGAGGCGCAGTGGGGGTGCGGGTGGGTGGGGGAGGGGGTTTCCCTCTGGTGTGGGGATCAGATGAGAGGGAGGGGCTACCATGTATTCTGTGAGGAGGAGGCGGGGCTTCTCTGCTCGCCGCCCTCGAGGACGATGATTGGACGGGAACAGGAGGAGCTGAGAAGAGAGATCGATAAGTTAATAGTGATGACATCACTGTGACATCATTTCTGAAATCAGCACTCTCTCACCTGCTCCTCTACCTGGAGCCTCTCTGACAGGGGGTGGCGGCCTGTTGATGCCCTGTTGGGAGGGCGTGGGAGAAGCAGGTGGAGGCGGTGGGGCGGGGCCTCTGGTGGGGGTGTGGCCTCCAGGTGATGGGGCCGGCCTTTTGTTGCTGAGGGAGTTGTGACGCTGTGGCAGCTCCGGTGCCACCTCGCCGGTACTTGTCAGACCGTTGGTGATGCGGTAAGAAAGAAGGGGTGGGGCCAGAGAGGAGGAGAAGGGAGTGGAAGAGGGAGAGTTACCTCCTGAGGTGGGAGGGCGTCGGCTGTTGCCAGGGGACGGGGGAGGTTTTGAGGGGAGGGGTGGGGTGTTGTTCGGTTCAAGAGGGAGGGGCTTCTCTCTGTTGTAAGAGGAGGATGAGTTGGGAGGGGAGGGGGCATTACCACGGCGACAGAGAGGAGGAGGGGGAGGGGGGGCGGAGGAGGAGTGCTTCATGCCGGTGGAGGGAGAGGAGGCAGCAGAGGAGGGGGAGGAGGGGGAGGGAGAGGTGGAAAGGTTGGGGAGTGAAGGACGCTGGGAGCGACTCGTCTCCGATGGCGACAGCGCCTGAGGGGAGGGGCTCTCTGCATCGTCATGGTGATGACCTGGGGGGCGGGGGGCAGCGGCTCGGGTGAAGGGCAAACGTCCAGAGGAGCCGTCTGGAAAAAAAGAACAATTCTAACAATGTACGAGAGTAAATCATAAATTCTAACATCCAATAGAAACAGTAACAGTAATAATTAGTATAAACATTCAAATATACATAAATCTTATAGAACAGTAAATAAATGACCAATGATTTGAAGAACCAATAAAACAAAAGTCGTCACCTCCCACTGGCCTCAGTTTGGGAACTCCGCCTGAGAACTTTCCTGATGGGCTTGCTGCTCTGCTCCCATTGGCTCCTCCTGTTGATGCTACGCCTCCTTTGGGCTCTGAGAACCACAACCATTCGACAGGTGAGAGCTCCGCCTCAGGCGAGCAGGTCACTACAGAACACGACACTACAATGACATCACAGACTGGGTGAATGAGTGTGTGAGGGCAGGAGGGCAGCTGAGACCATGTGAGACCAGGTGAGACCAGGTGAGACCAGCTGAGACCAGGTGAGACTCAGGTGAGACCAGGTGAGACCATGTGACACCAGGTGAGACCAGGTGAGACCAGCTGAGACCAGCTGAGACCATGTGAGACCAGCTGAGACCATGTGAGACCAGCTGAGACCAGGTGAGACCAGCTGAGACCAGCTGAGACCAGCTGAGACCAGGTGAGACCAGGTGAGACTCAGGTGAGACCATGTGACACCAGGTGAGACCAGGTGAGACCAGGTGAGACCAGCTGAGACTCAGGTGAGACCATGTGACACCAGGTGAGACCAGGTGAGA